GATGTTAGTAACATCTAATGATTAGATTGTGCTCCAGAGCGGGCGGCTCTGAGCGACTCTATGTTGTGTCCTTGCTATCATACGATCCGCTAGCAGAATCGTGTTCTCAAGTTACTCCGAAAGTGTTAGCTTGAGAATGAATAAGGAGCGTAGCATAGTACGGTGATTGTTACGTAAGAAACTGGCACGGTTGAGAGCGGTCAGAATGGGCGCTTGTCTGAATATCTATGGAATGGTTTAACCGTTACGGTTACGAGTGTCACCTATTCCTCTTAATATGGTATCCGCTATGTGACTGGGTATCGAGTGCTCCAATTTCAGAGGGAATTGTCCTTGTTGGAAAAGAAATCGAAATTCTCGTGACTTACTTGAAAAAGTGGCACGCTCCGTATAACATTGATCTTTTCATCTCAACCTGAGACTTCCAAGGACGCATAGGTCTACGTTCTCGATTCAGTGCAACAAGGACATAATTTAACTGGTGTATCTTAACATATCGCTTACACCCCCGAGCGTCAGCGAGCTAGAGAACCCCGGAGCGAAGCGACGGGTTCTGCTAGTATATTACAACAAGGATATTTGCGTCACGCAGCAGCGTTTGTAATTGATCATTCCCGCAGGATGGAGGATGGACCTCAGACCTAAAGTAAGGCTAATGATGATGTACATTTATCCTTAGGGTGGCGATTAACGTTGCTAATGTTCTAAGTCTGATCATCCTCATCGTTGTTGTTAGTAGTGATAAACTGATCGCTCGATAGCCGTAAACTCTTTGTGTGATTTATCTCATTCAGCTGGAGTGTTTCATATTTGTTACTTAGTAAAGTGGTTCAGCCATTCTCACCTTTGGTTGATTCATTATTTGTTCTGGTTATATTTTGCTAGTGTATTCTGGTTATGATTTCAATGAGTTGGATTATAGTGAGGATATGGGTACCAGTGTCTTAATGCCATTAAGTTAATGGGGACTGACTCTGGTTCTAGCCAGAGAATTGACTTTCTTCCCTCCACAGATAGCTTTCAGTAGTAATGAATATGTTCGCAATGGGCTCTCATACAACGCTGGAAGGATAACATACACCGCAGAGTTTCACCCATTTTACGTGAAGTAGCGTAAAACTATGTGAAAATCTCCTATATGCAGTTGTTGTGAAATATATTTTCACTGTGAAATTCCTACTACTTGTAGACTAGTCTATGTTCATAGCTCGCTTTTGTAGGTGATTTATTTTGTATTAGTGAGTTTATAACCTATGATGAATTATAAAGTGATATAGGTAGTAATAGTAGTAGGTATATTTATATACGAGGCCACGCGTTATTCATACATATTCAAATTTTGAATTGAAAATAAATTGAATTTCAATTTATTTTCAATTCAATTTTGAATTTCAAAATTAAATTTATTCAATTTTATTTTGAATTTCAAAATATCAAGTATTCCCCGAGCTGTGTGGGAAAATTTGCACATTCTCGACGTTGTGTGATTGTGATAATAAGAAAAAATTTCGGGAAATTTTGGGCAAGCTCTACTGGGGCTTTTGCCTTGTACGAGCTATGGTAGAAGTGTATAGAAATTAAGAAAAAATTACCAAAATTTTCTCAGAATTCCCATTAACCCGTAGATGACCATGTGCGTACTTTCTCACTCGGACCACCAGGAGTCATATTGATAACTCACCCAGTGAGAGGGTGAATTTCCTTCACCCTTGGTAAGAACTCCCGCGAAATATTCATTGGAGTTTCACAATCCGTTTTACGTGAAGCGGTGTAAAACTCGGTGAAAAACGCGATATTCGCGGTATGCAGTTGTCGTGAAATATATTTTTCACTAGTGTTTTTCATATCACTAGGGTGGTGAAACTCCAATATTTCCAGGAACGGTCGAGTTGGTAGTTCGCCAGGTGGGCTCATTGAAATGGTTGTTTTCATGATATGGAAATTTAATACTTTGGGAATAATAGTATCACAGCT